GAAGAACCTTTTGAAGCACCTTTATTTTTAAGAGTGTACTAACAAGAACAGTTTACTCTGGTGTCGCTGAACAAGAATTTAACCATGAAGAGCAGTTACTTTGTTTCTAAGCGCTCACATTTTTTGCTGTTCGGGGAATTTTCGCTGGCGAAATCCATTCATTTAAAAGAATCCACGCGATCTGGAATTGTGTGGGAGGCAGAAGATTTTCCCATGCAGATTTCATAACTGGTTTGTTGGTTACACAGATTCAAAAGTGATTCGTGTGAGACATTATTGCACTATTGGCAACATAGACAATGGACCTATTTTGTCTCAGAATTTTTGCCAAATCTATCTATTAATTTATATATATATAGCCTACACACACACATAATGAGTATTTGGGCATCCTACCTACTTCACATACTTAACATACTTTACATATTGTATAGTAGTATAATAATCGATTCTGAGCTTAGCTTAGTGTGCTGTGAGAAACGTGCGCTTTTCTTGACTTTGTGCTGTTTCACCTGCCGGTGTTTCAGTGTTTTTTTCCTTCCAAATGCCCTGTGTATTTCTAGGGTTGCCACCCTAATGTTTGACTAAATGTTAGTCGACAAGAAGAGGCTTAGTTGACCAGAATTGTATTAGTCGGTTAGTTGCAGAAAAAAAAAAGAACTGACTATGTCCGTGATGGACGGATCGTTAACGGAAATGTCTACTTTTAAATGAACCAATTCAAATCAAAAACAAAAATTCTCTCATTATGTAATCCATAATAAAGGTGCATTTCTCTCTAAAGGCGATGCGCTGTACTGCAGAGATGGCGCGTCAGCGTCGTCAACTTCATCTTTGCAGCCCACACTGACTCAACTAATGGCGTGAATAAGCGACTAGGTAACTAGAAAAATCTTGAGTTGGGGGCAGCCCTATGTATTTCAGTGTTTTACCTTCCATGATTCCCTGAATTGGAATCGGAACGGATTGTGATGTGCCTAAATATTCCCACCCCAACTGTTGGCCCTGTTGAAGACTGGCCCTCTATTGTGAGGTCTGCTTTTGTGTATGTGTTTTCAAGAAAGCTTTGTCAGTTAATGTAAGTGCAACGGTATGTGGCAAACAGTTTTGCACCACAGGCTGCCTTTTCACAAACTCAAAAGTGAAGTCATTCGCACACCTGTCACAATACCCTTCATTCAGTCTTACCCCATGACCGCCAGCGGCCTCTTCTTTGACAATGTTGTAGAACAGGCATGTGACGACTCCTGTCACAGCTGCCTTTCACAGAAATGTGCACGTTTACACACAGTGGCCCACAAAGGTCAAGGTTTCACTCTGATGCTTGTGGTTGGTTTACAATAAGCCTCATTACTTCCTCTGTGGATTAAAACAGAGCGGTCAAACAACAAAATCAAGATTGTCTCAGAGGGTGAATTGAGTAAACCGTTCTGACAAACTTAATTCATACTGTTGTTACACCTGACAGCACACTCAGCACTGTCAAAACAAGCTCAGAAGATTCCGAACAAGTCATGGCCTTTTAGACAGACTCTCAAATGCTTTCACTGAGTGGCACAACAGTATATTTTCTGTATGATCACTATAGTTAGAGGAAACGACCACTTTTCTCTGGGATCCTACAGTGAGGGAAACAGACAGGTATGGGGTCGTGACCCTGGAACACAGCATGTGTTTCTAATGGATGGGTTTTCTTAATCGGCTGAGTGGAATGCGTGAGAAGAATGTATGGGTTAAGATGACAAGGAACCAGAGAACATGATACGAGTGTTTTGCCATAATGCACGCAAACAGTTTTTTCCTTTAGCACGCCGCCTGATCTTTGCTGCTCCTAAGTTCACTCTGTAGTGGTTGAATAGATGGAAAAATAAGAAATGCTGTATATAAATCATGGCAACTCTCTCATTGTTCGTAAATTGTAATGTATATAGGCAATATAAATTGGAAAAAAATAAGCCTTGAGATAACATGTTGCTTTTTTTTCTAGAAAAAATGTGCAGAAAAAAAATATGCAATATAAAATACAGTATATGTGTATGCATGTATATATGTGCGTGCATATATATATATATATATATATATATTTATATATTTATATTTATTTGTATATGTGTGTGTGTGTGTATTTTCGTATGCATGTGAAGTATTTTTCTTTTGACAAGTCAGACATTTTTTGCAAATGTCATGAATTATTTGAGTTGACATGAATATTAATTATTTAAAAAATATTTTTTGGGGGAAGTCACACCACAACCTCGACTATAGACTAACCCTACGTTTTCATAAAATGTCAAATCATTTGATGAGACCTATTGACCTTGATACAAATGTTTAGAAAAAAATAATTAAATTACCACAGTAGCACGCGTGCAATTCTGCATGTGTGTTAGGGCTGTCAAAAAAAATGCGAATTTTGAATATTCATCGAATTAAAAAAACAAAATCCACATTCGAATGCAAAAACGTTGCATTTGAATTTTAGGTCTACGTCAGCCATCAGGCAGCCTTATCAGTGGCGCACGAAATGCTACGACAATGTAAGTGTCATTGCATTTGAATGCTTTTGTTAGCCTATCCAGTTGAACCCACTAGATGCGGTGCTGCTACGTTGTTCATTCAAAATATAGCGGAAAAGGAGAGCATCAGTGGGGCGCAGATGTTGTTTACGGCGAAACTGAAACCAAGCCGTTCACACAGAACGCATATTTATCACATTTTCTAGAGGGGCATCTATCAGCGTTGCACTCGCGTCTCGCACAAGAGAGCCGCATGTTTAGAAAGCCATGTAAAATGAATGCAAGTTCAACTTTTAAAAAACATGTCTCAAGACTTCATGGCGGTTTTCCCCCATCCCACTGCATCTCATGTTTTTAAATGAAGAAAGTAGCCTACTCTTTGTGATTGGTTTTCGGACCTTTGTATTAAACTATACATACATGCATGGTGCTGTTTTTTTTCTAATTGTTTAAGCAACTTTATTAATTATATATGGTTTTTAAACATTATGCACCTTTTTTCATAAATAGTCGTGTTATTTTATTATGCTTTGAAGAAACGTGCATAATATTTTGTTCGATGCGCCCTCTTGCGGCCTCAGGAGAGAAGCCAAAAGCTTTTTTTCCCCCCTAACTGAAATTATGCCTTTTAAATTCGAATATAATTC